CTCGCATGCTTGCGGCGGATACCACGTGGCAGTTGATTGAAGGATGAGGAAGGGGCACCGTGCATGGAACTAATACTCCGTTCCGATCACGAATGTGAACGGTGCATTTGAAGAAGTTCACTGGGTGATCCTCGCTTCGCAGCCATGACATGCCCAAGATCATGTCAAATTTGGTGTCCAGAATATTAAAGGACACCGCCTCACTTGCGTGAGGGGCAAAGTACACGGGGATGGCGTCAATGCAAGGTCGATTGACTTGTGCGTATGACCGTCTCCCAACGTGACTTGCGTAGGCTGGGACTTCCTCCGGACACGTGGGCCAAGGCCGGCGCGTACCATGAAGTCCTGACTGATGTAGTTGCGAGATGCTCCGCAATCGATCAAGGCACTGCAGGTCGCCTCTCCGATCTGAATGCATACGTATAGCAATGATGCGTCGATGTCGTCGTACCATTGCGTCTTGAATCGCGGTCAATCTTCGCGATGTAAGAGTGAAGGTCGACAACCTCTGCTCCGGCGTCCATCAAAGCTGGTACTGCAGTGTGCAAGTAATCCCGCAATTGTGCCATGAGTACGTTGCAATATGGTTTCGACAATCGTCCGGTCGAGGGAACGGGCATCCACTGGAAGTCCGTGAACGTCAATGAGTCGAGCTCTTCAAGTCTTGACCATGACGTCGAATCCCCGACGATAGATTGCGGCGAAGCTGCCGAATCGGTTGCCGATGGTGATGAAACCGTGCATGCGGTGGACTGTTGCACGTGGAGCGGTTGGTCCAGCGGTGGAACCAAGTGGACAGCATAGTCCTCGTAAGTGTAACGAGAACTTGCGACATTCGCGTTCTCCCCAGATGTGCAGGAGGCCGCTAGCAAGGCGGCCAAATCTGGCAGAGTAGAAGGTGGAGTCGCCTCACTTTCCGTGGAGCTCAGTTTCCCGAGTTGAGGCGGGGCCGCACATCCTCCTTGCCCTGATCCTGGCACAGGGAGGTCTTGTGCTTGGTGTTGTTGCACCAATAGCAGTTGCCGTAGCGGCCGCGGACCTTGTACTCCGCCTCGGTCAAGCCGAACTTGACCCATGGAAGCTGTCCATTTCCGGCYTGCGATGCTGGTTTCGCCTTCCCATTGTTGCGGGACTTGTTGTTGCTTCGCGGCTGGACAGCAGCCACCTGATCTCCGTCACCTGATGCTGGAGTGGCTGCTGGGTTATYTCCACTGTSCTGCTGGACTGCAGCGAAGTGCTGCTGTCGCRGACYAGTTCGTACCTTCTCCACATAGGTCGGCTGCCATGTTGATTTCTCGTGTGCAGCTGACCTGTTGGTCTTGATGATCTCTCTCGCCTTGTCGATAATCTCGGCGAAAGTGGAGTACTGCTCGCGATCACCAAGGGCCTGGCTCAATGCAGCACAGGACCTGTTGTAGAACTCACGTCTGAGATGAGTGAAAGTCAGATCCAGGTTGGGCACTACCGCAATCTTCTGCCACTCTGTGAGCCAATCCCGTGTTGCAGTGTTGCCCTGTGTCATGGTGAACAAACGGTTGATGGCGAGTGTCGGCGCGTCGTCGACGATGAACCGCTTCTTCCACAGCCGTGTCAGTTCCTCCCATGTGATTTTGTCCTTCAAGTCTGGTACGTCGACGTCGTGGGAGGTTGCCAGGTGGCTCAACCAGGTCTGGCATTCGCCCTTTGAGTTCAGGAATAGGGCGCCGATGTACGCATGCTTGGCTACGGGCAGAATCCTGAGTTGCGTTGTGAATGCTTCCCACCAGAGGACCGGATCCTGCTGCATGTAGTCGTCGAACCTCTCCAGGTTGAAAGTTGGCATCTTGTACATCTTCGGATTGTCGTCCGCGTTCGTCGACTGCAGCTGCTGGACCTCGGTCTTCAATGTATGCAGCTGACAGCTGATGGTGGTGGTCGGTGCAGCGAAAGTGCTGATGTCGCCGAGCATTGCCACTATGTGGTCAACGCGGTCCTCCAGTTGGCGGCTAGAGGGTGCATTGCTGGAAGCCCCAACAGCTGGTCCTGGTACCGCCTGTTCCAGGTCCAGCAATCGGGCATTGAGTGCCCGAGTTGCATCCTCGTGGCTCTGCACTATGCAGCGGAGCTTTGCCAACTCCTGATGCTGTTGCGTCAGGTCCTGGTACTGTCTCTCCAACTCTGACCGTTGGTAGTTGCAAGCGTACAACAACCTTGTCACGAGTTTGGAGAGGAACTCCTTGTGCTTCTCTTCCGGTGTTGCCTCGTCGCTGTTCGGTTCAAAGTGCCAGAACTTGAGTCTGTCGATGCTGTTGGCTTCATGCCGCTGCAGCAGATCTTGGGCTTCCTTGCGGCGAGCGTGGGCATCTGTGTCTGCGTCGGCCTGTAGCCGCAGCTGCTCTGCTGCTGCTGCCTCTTCAGCCTGTACGCGGGCAGCCTCGGCTGCCAGCTGGCGTTGTTCCTCAGCCTCAATCTGAGCGTGGAACCGCTGCTTGTAGGCGGCAAGGGACTCGTTGGGCAGTTGCCCTGGCAGGCCCATCATGTTGCTGACGTGGCACTGCTGCTGTGGCACTGCTGACGTGGCACTGTGTTTGATGTGGCACTGTGACCTGGCACTGCTGACGTGGCACTGCTGATCTGGCACTGTGACGTGGCACTGCTGACGTGGCACTGTGACCTGGCACTGTGACGTGGCACTGCTGATCTGGCACTGTGACGTGGTGCTGCTGACGTGGCACTGTACCGAACCGGGATGCATCCAAGGGGTGGGTGGGAGGGAAAACGTAGGTAGGTAACCAACCCAACAACACTTTCCTCCAGCCCTAATCAACAGATAAAATAAAAAATAAAAAAATAAAAGAGGACTACTTCCTTTTTTTTTTCTTTTTTTTTTTTGTATATATCTGTCGATCTATGATGAGTAGGATATGTCAGAAGAGTATTATGAACGAGATCTAGGCTAGGTTCCGCAAAGTTTCGTCTTTTACAAACTGTGATCTTGAAAAAATTTTGCGAAATGGAGTAAAGATGCGATTTTCAGAAAAGAACGAAATCCAGTTTCTGAGAATATAGCAACCTCCGAATATGCCTAACGCAATATTGGTAGGCTTAAAAATTTGCGAGATAGAATGGAAATGCGATTTTCAGAAAAGAATAATTTCAGTTTCCGAGAATATGACCACTTCTATTGTTATCCCAATATGCCTAGAGAACGAAAATACTAACTTCAGCAATTTCAGCTATGTATGCGAAATATCAGAGAAACGAAATGCTACTATCGGGAATTTTCAAACAAAACGAAATGCGATTTATCAGAAATTTTCAGATATTTGCTACGTAAAAACGAACTACTAGTATCAGAAATTTTCAGGTAAAACGAAATGCGAATATCAGAACTTTCAGATAGTTGTTGCAATAATTTTTTTTTTCAGAGATTTGACTAAGTCCTACTTGCGTTACTAATGAGTGATCAATAGATCGCAAGCTGGCTACTTGATTGAGCGGGTCCTCTGAATGAGAGGTCCGCTCTGATACCAAACTGTTGCATACTGTGACGTGCAGACCAGAACAAGAACCGACCTTTCAATACAAAGTATAAGATGGCACAACGGAAGACTTAGATACCTGTAATCCGAACAATCAATGTTGCAATGCAGCCCTGAACATGCATCATCATCATCGTTACATGGTGTGAATGGGGCTTGGCGCTTCACACAGGAAGACTGCGCCAGCCCATACCATACACAGACGAAGAGGAAGGGGATAGACGAAGAGGAGGGGGAAGATGGGAATGTCGTCAACACCAAGTCTTCGGCACAAGCCCAAATAGTCCCTCGTCCAAATGTCTGAATCCCAAATGTCAAGTCTGGATCCAATGTCGTCAAGTCTCAAGTCACAACTCTGTCTCTCTCTGTCGTAGTCTGAGAAGTCAGGTGGTGAGAGGGTGAGAAGAGAAGGTGGACTTAGAAGAGGAAGAAAAAGAACTCTCTCTCTCTCTGTGTCCAGTACTAACCTGTGAAGTTGGCGCCTTGATGCAGGTACCACGAAGATGGAGCTGGAGCGATGGCGCCACAGGGAAGTACCACTGGCCTCCGCCAGTCTCTCTCCCACTCTACGATCTACCACCTACCAGCGCCCAGCGCTGAAGACTACTCTATGTCTATGGCGCCCAGCGCCGAAGACTACAGCTAGCGCTACTACTACTTAGCGCTGGAGACTACTGCAGCGCTCCTCCTGAGTGCTGCGGCCAAATCCTGAAGACTACCAGTGCCTACTGAAACTCCTACCCGTGAAGTGCCTAGGACAGTCCTATGTACTTCTCGGGTGTGCCTCCTGACTCGTGCGAGCAGTCCAGGAGGCTGCTCTTGCCAATGCCGAAGGCGTGCAGGGGCTGCTCGAGCACGTGAGGAACAGGCTATTCTTGGCCTGTTCCGTGTCCCTGTTTACGTGCCTGAGTCTTAGGGGCAGGTCGAAACAATGAGGGCCTGAAAATGGCCCTCCGTTTCAGGCTGAAAACTCTGGGTCTGAAAAGACCCAGAAATAGGCTGAAACGGGGTAGGGCCTGCAGGCCCTCGTTTTTCAGCTTTCAGGCTGAAACGGGGTAGGGCCTGCAGGCCCTCGTTTTTCAGCTTTCAGGCTGAAACGACCGGGGCCTGTAAGCCCTAAGTCTTAGGCTTTTAGGCTGAATGTCCGGGACGGGCCCTGCAGGGCCCGTGTGGCTACGCAGTATGCCACACCAGGAAAGTACATGCCACCAATGTACTTCATGATAAAGGGACAAAATTCAATAAATAACTCACGAGCGCTTGGGTGGGCCCACTTCCAGAGAGGACCCAAGAAGTCCAGCGGCACCCTGATAGAGCATAACACAGAGGATCACCACTTCCCCACCATGGGCCAAAGGCAAGACAAACACTGTGTGCTGAGCAGACTTACAAACGTAGAAATCCCTCCCAATGCCGGAGAAGGAGGCAGATAGCCACTATCCATCTCCCCTGACAAGTCCTCCTAACTTCCTTTCCCTATTGATACCGGAACCAGAATGGAGATGGGTGACAATGATTCGCCAGTAGCGTTCTGGCAAGTTGGAAATACGGGATAGGGGCCAGCCTGAACATCTATGATCTCTCGAAACTCAGATTTAGGGGCCAACATCCTTTTTTTTTTTTTTTTTTTCCCCAACAAGCCCAGGGTGTTGTGGAGGCCAAGGACTAGACCCACGGTGATCGCTGGCAGCAGCAGCCTATGGTTGTCCTGACAGGATAGGCCACCTTCCCTACCCTTCCCCACGTTAATACTCCCAACGCACCCCCTATCCCTACTATCCTACCTAATTGTGACCAGCACTCAGGACCATCACCCGACCAGTATCAAAGGCAACTTGGACCAGACAGCAGTGACAAGCACCAAGGCTGGGCAACCCCCCAGCCCTAGTGGAAGCGGAAGCGGATGAACCTTGCGGGGACAGCTGAGGGTTGCTGCCGGGACGACGCTGGCTGGAGCTGGGGCGAGTTGTGTTGCCCTGGTTTTGGGACATTTGGATGATGGATAGGGATTACCTGGGTATGGCTGGTTTCGATTGGTCTGGCGGGTGCTGAGGGTGGGCTACACTTCTTTCTAACCGTACGAGAGTCACCTTCGGCACTCGGCCATGTGGCTGAGTCCCCCTATTCCTATGGGACCCCCTCCCGGCCTACCACTCTTGTATTTCTCCCCGGCGCACCCCTACAGCCACTATCCTACCTCAGTGTCTACCACTCAGGATCACCACCCTCCAATCTGGGGGTGACCTTGACCGGACAGCGGTTGCAGGTACCAGGGCTAAGCTGAGCCCCACTCAACCCACTCAACCCACTCAGCCCTGATCGAAGCATAGTCGAGCGAGCCTGTCGCCCGGGTACTTCAGGCGCTAGGTATCGACGTTTCACTGCAAGTCCCATAGGTGGACCTATTTGTGTTCCTACCGTTGTGTACACAGCTGTTGTTACTGTTGTTTGTTGTTAGTTTGTTCACTGCGTACATTGTTGTTGTTACTACTTGTTTGTTGATGGTCATCTGTTTCTTGTCTCTTGAGTTTTTGCTAGAGGACATGGGAGGCAGGTAACCCCAATCTATCCCCCTAGAGACCCCCCCATCACAAGAGCCCTACTAACACCGGCCATAGACTGTACTATGTCTCCTTTCATCAACTGTTCCTATATTCTATGGGTGGTCTGTAGGGTCCTAGTGTTTTTCAGACTAACATCGACCATAGAGCGTACTAAGTCTCACTCCCATCAACCGTTCCGTTCCATGGGCGACCTGTCCTAAGGAGGAGCCCTCATCTAACCCTCCCGTGCCTAGCGGCCGGCCCCCCAGATCTCCAACTAGCAACAGGCCCACCTAATCTCTACTCTCAACCGCAAGGGCCCCTTACCAACCCCTACCACAGACTGTACTAAGTCTCCTCTCATTGACTGTTCCTGATTCTATAGGCCGGGTGTAAGTCTCTCAGCCGGCATCTCACTACGTGAATGAATTTGAACACATAAAGCTCAACCATGAAAATCTACCATCGAACCTACTGAGGTATTGTGGAACCTAACCGATTTGTGTGCAATGCTGGACCGGAAGGCAAATGAACAATCCGGTTCAAAAAAAAGAAAAAGAAATGTGAGCAGCAGCATAGGAGGCGCGGGGGATGGGGGAGCACTCAGGATAGCGTGAGCGCTGTGCGTTAGCACTATAGAGCGCGTGAGCGCTGCTGAGTGTGCGCGAGCGCCGGGGTATGTGCAAGTGCTATGGTGTGAGGGTGAGTGTGGGTGCTGGTGCAGACACGGTGGTGTGTGCGTGGCATGTACGCTCGCACGAGCGCTGTGGTGCAAGCACGTGCATGTGCGCTGGCGCGGTCGCTATGGCGAGAACGCTGATCTGCCGAGAGTGCTGACCTGGTGCGGGCGCTGAAGGACGACGGCAGACGAATATGGTGGTCATCCCAGCGGTACACTCTTGCGCTTAGCGTACATGTGGAGACTGGAGGCACTTGATCACGACACGTCACTGGCTGATGTGGCAGTCGGTCTGGCTCATGGTTTTCCGTGAGTTCCGCATTGAAGCTCCATTGCCGCTGCTGCGTTCCTGCACATGGGATAGTGCCTTGGCAGTGCTGGCGATGTCAACACCGGTGGAGTAGGGTGGAGTTAGCCCTTGGTTACCCAAAGTGCGGTGATTATCATACGAGTGGAGTGATCGGTGATAGACTATTCCTCAGCATTATCCAAGAGCTGTCCTTCATCGTCAACAGGGGAGTCTTCATCATCAGGGGAGCTGTTTTTCTTCAGGGCATCTGGAATGGGGCTTTCTTCATTCGGGAGTTCATCTTCAGAAGAGTTCTTTTTTCAGTACATTGGTTGTGCTGCTTTTTTTGGCAGGTCGTCACCATCTTCATCACAGTTGCCGTTGGGCTTCTTCTTCCAGGTTGTAATCACCATCTGGGTACTCGTTATCGTTAGCATTGGATGTCATCTTCGCCAGCATTGCTGCTGGCTCATCCTCTTTTCTTTCAGCAGCTTCACGCGGCTGATCGCCATTGTGTCATTAATTTCCTCATCTCCACACTGCTGTCCCACGGCTGATTGATGGTCACTATCATCAGTGTTGTCATCATCACGCGGCAGTGCTGCTGCTCATTATCTTCTTCAAAAAATAGGTTTCATTAGTGTGCTGTGCACAATTCATCATCACGGCGCTCTTCTTCAGCAGGGTGCTGGTAAAATCCAATGATCATCACGGCGCCTTTTCGCCGCCTTCATCAGACTGTCTTCCAAATTTCACCATCGCGTTAATGTCGCTCTTCCTCATTGAGCTGCTCTTTCCTCTGGTTGCCATCACATTGAGCTGTGAGTTATATCCTCCAGCACTGCTCGACAACATCATCATTAACCTCCTTAACACATTATTTCATATATC